GGACAACAGGTGGTGTGTGTGTGTTCATTTATTTGTTTTTGAGTTTCCAATAGATCCAATGCTTTAAAATTAGGATTATTCTTAGTCCAGAAGTACTAATATATGCTGGCAAGTTACTTTATCAAGCTGGTGTAACCTGGCTTCTCTTTATCCTGTCTCTTCTCTGCCCCCTTTTGTGCTTTTCTGCTGGCATCTTTCTCTGTTTTCCAGACAGGCACCCTTGCCAACAGATCTTGGAGTTGGCTGGTGGCAGAAGTTACTTTTGCCTCATCCTATTTCCCTTACTTCCCTCCAGCCAGCACACACGTCTTTTCTCTTCCCCCTCTGAAATGGGGGGGAAGATAACACTGCAAAGTTCTTTTTCCTACTACACATGCGTTGTTGAGTGAGTATCTGCAGTTTATAAAGTAGCTGGTGGGGTTTCACATTAAAAAAGGTGAGAAAGAATGCTGCTGGGAGAGAAAACAATGAAAAAATCAAGACAGCCACACTGTTGATCTGCAAAGTATGCTTGATAATGTCGTTGTCTGTGATGTAAAAGGGAATGTTCTAAAGGTACATATGCTGAAATTCTTACCTGTGTAAAAGCTCTTTCATAAAGTTGTCTTTTCCTGAGTACATGGTAGTAGGGCTGCTCTTCTGCTCGAATCTTGTTTGGCTTAGGTTACTATGTATGGCTTTTGCCATTTTTTTTCCTTTTGGAGCACCATCTGAAACCGCACAAGTTTTCTTGTTCAGCTCATTTTCTGCTTCACAGTGCTGTTCACTTTTCTTTTTGTCTTTCCTTCTTTCAGACTTGGTTTGCTTACTTCCAAAAGCTGAAACTTTCACATCTTTCTTTTCTACTTTTACTTTTGAGGTATCTGTTTTTCTGTTATTCAAGGCTGGGAGCTTACTTTTACGGAAACCAAACCAGCTGGCAATAGAAGGTCCCCCGTTTTTTTGTTTCATCTCAGTGGCAGATCGATTTTGCCCTTGTCCTTTCTGCATGTTCTCTTGTATGCACAACATGACTTTTTCTTCTATTGTAGGATGTGAAGTAGTTGAAACTGAAACCTTCGCGGAGGCTTCGGGACCATTTAGACACGCTTCTTGCAATACTGTCTTGCTTCCTTCAGCTTTACGATGACACTCCATCCTGTCCAGATTTTTCTGAAGTGGGAAAATTTGCTCTGAAGAAATACTGGTTGCTTGGTTGATTTCTGCTTGGGTAACACTTTTTTCAATTGTTGATTGATGTCTGGAAATGTCACTGCTTTTTTCATCTTGGCCAGATGTACTTGGAACTTCGCTCTGTGATGCTGATTTGTGGATCCCCTTTTTTGAAATACTGGCAAATAAATCTCCTTTTGGAGACATACGGAATGGCAGTTTGCTTGGGCTACTCATCTGACTACTGGAACTACTCACTTTTGCACAAATGCCTTGCCTACTACAAGAAACTGCAGGAACTCCCTCTGTTGTCCCAGCTGATTCCGAAACAATCTTAATTTGTAATCCCTCCCCTGTTGAGTTTTGTCTGGTTAAAGAATTCCCTCTTTCTGATGTATTTGTTATAATCTGTGTTCTAACTTTTCCAAACCGTTCTAGGGAAGGTGCTGGCAATATTTCTTCAGTATAAATACTGAAGCTTTGACTACGGGCCTTTGCTCCAGTCATACCAAGAGCTGGCTTCAGGTATGCTTTATTACTAGAAGAAACTGATCTTTTAACAGATTTGTTTTCGAGCCTGTCTTTCTCTATCAAATTGCAAGTTTCAGGGGAAGTGGGGAAGGCTGGATCCATTCTGAGCTTCTTTGAGAAACTTTCCTTTATTTGGGGCTCTGGACTCCTTTCTTCAGTGTCAGCTAAGTCTATGGTGGTTTGAGATGAAGATTCACCCTGCCTCTGTTTATTTGAATTCACACTGCATTTAGAGGCTGCGTTCATACAGTCTTTTTCCTGTTTCCCTGGCACGGTGGAACTCTTTCGGACAAAGCGGGGAGATGTTATGAGTAATTTCAGTCCCGCAGACAGATGAGGCTTCAGGTCCTTGTCAGACAGGTTTCCATCATCCCTGCCCTGAGATAACAATAAGACTGGAGAAGGACTAATTTGAGGCAGAACAGTCTGCTCCCCAACTGTGCTTATGTGATGTTCTGGTGAAGTGGAGAAACTCTCTGGAAACTTTGGTTTCTGAAGTATACCAGTCTCCTGAGACAATGGGTTTGTATCTTGTGATGTGAAAGCTGTGGGGATGGCTCTGGAATTATAAAATTCTCTGTTACTGCAAAACACGGGTGGGTTTGAGTTTGGGGGACAAACTTTCTTTGTAAACATCTTGGAAATGACTTGGCTTGCGGCCGGGGGCTTTTCTGATATACATTTGCCTTCTCCCTTGTCCTGAAAATGGTTTAATTCAGCTCGAGGTGTTGCAGGCAATTTATCAGTTTGCATTTCGCAGACAGTGATGTTATGACAAACAGGCACTGAATTTCCTTTCAGTGGTGTCAACTGAACATCATCTTTTACTGTCTCACTGAGAAAACCTGGTTTATCACGGGCAGGGGGTGAATGTTCATAATTTGGTCTAATCAACAGCGAAGCTGATCTGCCAGGAGGAAGGGGGGGTGATGGAGAGCTGGCCTCCATCGGTGGTATATCACAATGGACATCTCTAGTTGATTTCTCTTCACTACTGATGGGCTCTATGAGATGCTGAGGCAGGGCAGTTGATTCTGAGAGCAGATTCTTGGCTGCTGGATGGCCCAATACTTTGCAGTTATTCAAGCCTACCTTTGAATTCTGATTTGTATTTTGCATCTTTTTGTGTCTTGGCCATTTTACAGGTGACAAGGGACTTTTATCCAAGGTCTTAAAACAATGCGAAGAGACTAAAGGAAAGTTTTCAGCCATGCCCACTTTTGTTTTCTGTGGTAAAAACTTGTCTCTGCTGGATATTTTAGTTAATTTGTATTTTTGATTATTACCCCCCTGGATACAAGAAGGGGAGCTCAGATTAGAAGAAATGCTGCAAACTGGCTTTGCTAGCTTTTGCTGAGAGGTGTTTTGAAACAGTGGCTTTCCAAAGTGTATGGGGCATCCTCTGCCGTAGGGAGTCTGGACCTTTGCAAAGTCATCCTTGAAATCATTTGGGGCAGTTTTTCTCTCTGCTTTATTAACAGGTATTTGCATAACATGGCAGCTTTTAGTATCTATTGCTTTCTGCAAATTAGATACTCCCTGAGATAAACATGCAGTGTTTTCTGCATTGTACCCAGAATACGGCTGGTTGATTGAAATTTCATTTCTAGTTACAGTAACAATTCCAGCCTGATGTGAATTGAATTCAATAGGTTTGCCATCTTCGGCATCAAATATTACAGTAATACATTCTTCTGAAGAAGTCTTCTTTATAATTTTTTGTTTCTTAATAAAATTACATGCCTTTGTCCTAATGTCTGGGCGAGTGAGCATTTGACTGGGTTGTTTTTCAGAAGATGCCAGTCGAGTGTTTTCTTTCTCCACATGCGTATCAGAGTTCTCTGTGTTCTTTTCTGCAAAGGGTGCTAATGACAAATATGATGGGCTTTTCTCATCGCTGCTTTCTATATGTAATTCATCAAGGATTTCATTGTCATCAGTATCTGAAAGGTGTAAATTAAGGTCTCTCCAGCTTACACTGGAAAGACTTTTATCTATCTGCAGCACAGGCAGCTTCATATTAGTGCACGATTTTGCACCCAACTGAAATTCATTGACAAAACTAGTCAGTTTTTCAGGCCTTTCCTTTGAATTAAAATAAGAACTTATTTCTGATAAATGCCTTCTATCAGGTTCCCAGCCAAATAAGCTGTCAGAAACACTGTGAGTTAATTTATTACAGTAGTGCTGACAGTCTTTCCTTGGTACTTCATATAGCAATGCTAAAGATGAAGAGTCATCATCTACATCCTCATGGGAATCAGAATCATAGACAAAGATTTGGGGGTGATCTGTGCAAGCAGCCTCCATTTCAGGCATGCCAGTGGCCTGTTCTTTATGACCGCTGTACTTAATTCCTGGAGAATAGATTCCTTCGTTAGAATCCATGCAATCTTTGTATCCCCATTTGGATATAAGAGAAGGAGGTTCTAATAATATTTTTTGCTTTTGTAGCTTCTTTAGCCCATCCAAAATGTGGTTTTCCTTGATATGAGTTGGAGGTAGTTCATCAGCAGGGCTGGAATGGTTGCTGGGGAGTGAAGAGCCTATACTTATCCTTTTATCCCAGCTTACTGACTGATTTGAAATGAAAAAAAAAAAGAGAGAGATACATTTAGTTGTTACTACACAATTAACAATCTTCAGGAATAAAGATTTCTCCCCCAAGTCCCCCAATGTAACAAGTGATAGACAATAATAAGTAGCTAAAGTGACAAAGAAAAGAAACAAGCCCCAGACCAAACTATGAGTGCTCACTGAACTTCAGCTAATAAATGCCGATGAGACAAATCTGTCTGTGAATTAAACTGAATGAATTGGAGGGGGTGGGGAGGGAGGGAGGGAGGAAAGAAAAGGAAAGGAATACTTCAGATTAGGTTTTCCACTTCTGCTGGAAGCCACAATACTTCTAGAAGTGTATTTAGGATTCTGACCTTGATTCTTCCCACTTCTTTCTTCATCCTATGTCATCACTGTTTCAGCTTCTGAGCTAAGCTTATGAAGCAACCCCTGACAATAACTAAAAAAAAAAAAAATGGTAGCCTCTTCAATTTTCTCCCACATCACATGGTGTGAGCGACCAGTAGAAGCTGATTTGCTTACCTTTTTCCTGCACGCTTTCCCATCGTTCCAGGAGGAACTGCTGGAATATTCACTGCAGGCACTTGACAAGGAGAGCTCACTGCTGCTGCAGCTGCTTCGAGGATAAACTTGGTGAGGTCCAATTCCATTTAACTGACTCTGGCATTTCAAGGCAGGTATTCCAGATTTCATATTCTGCTGGCATTCCTAAAGCAAGGAAGTAGATGACATTGTTTTGTGGGCTGAAAAATCAGAGCTACAGCTTCTTTTTGAATAAGATGACAAATCAACAGAGAATATTTGTATTCATGCCAATACAGATCAAGTCTAACTATTGAATAAATATTAAAACCACAATGCTCATATTTTATCCTTATTATAAGATTAACATTTCTAAATTTTTGATCGTTTTAAAAATTTATTTCTTTAAATTATGCACACCTTGTCCAAGCTAGTCCTTCAGTGACAGTCTGCTTGAAATATGCAATGTTTATTAGCAATGTGCTCCAGAAAGATACTGAAACTCAAGTTAAAGCAGTACAAGAACATCTTGACAACTGCATTATATCCCTACAATGTAACAGATGAGGCCCTACAAACTGGACAAGGTAAATTAATTTAGTGTCCCAACTAGAATGCCCATGGAGAATGGAATCTCTCCATTACAGTCTAATTTTGGTTTCCTATCTAGTTTAAAGCTTTGTCTAAGAAAGTCTCCAGTGCAGGACAATCCATCTTTGTGTCACTGTCCGACAGCTAAAACCTCCTGCTTATGCTATTTATTGACACTTTATGGCTGCCTTTACTACTTGTGTAGTTATCAGCCTTTTCCAAATGCAATCTCAGCTTCTGTGACTAAATACCAGTTTCAAGGAACAGAATAATGAAGAAAGAAAATAGTGCAGAAGTTGGTAGATGTGTTTTAATTTTGTTCCAGATGAGCATTTTGTTTCCCATGAAGGTCAGAGAGTCCTGAATGCTCAGAAATCTTGCACATATGCTGTTATAAAGCCTCTCTGTCTATTAAATGTATCAGGCACAGTTGTGTAGCTTGTTTATTTACAATATTTGTAAACCACCCCAATAGAAATGATAATTAATACACAATGAATAACATATTTGTATTTCCTTGGAATTTTGCAGCAAGTCTCATGAATCTCAAAAACATTTTTCTTTCATTCATGAGCATCACAAAGATATGTACCTACACTGCTTTACATAACTTAGAATAGACAAAAACAATCTACTCTGATATCCATGCAGGGTTTCTGTGAAGACAGGTTTCCCAGCTTCACTATAAAAGATGGAGTGGCTCCTAACTTAGGTTTCAACAGACATCGGATAATTGTTGATAAAGTAGCTGCTCCCTTGTTTGCCAGAGCTCGCTCTGATTCCAAGCCTCAAAAGTAATGTATAATGCTGTTCCTAGTCCACATTCTTAAATTACAGAAGAAAAAATCCCAGCATAATTCTGGATTTACTAATTGTGCTGATAATACTGAATCTTACAGTCCTTTGCCTTCCAAGCTAAGAGAAGCTGGTTTTGAGACACTATAGGAACTCTGCCCTGGGGCATTTATTATGTGCAAAAATTGTAAATTTCAGAAATATTATTGTCCCTGCTGATCACAATTGGACTATTTTGGTGTGATCCACAAAATGGGCCAGGAAAAGGAAAGGAAAGGAAAGGAAAGGAAAGGAAAGGAAAGGAAAGGAAAGGAAAGGAAAGGAAAGGAAAGGAAAGGAAAGGAAAAAACATAATGAATCTCTCTTAGTCAAAAAGTGACTTGTTAATACTGTTCTGACATAATCTTGGTAGAATCTTGGGAAGGCCACAAAATATTAGTTGAATCATGAACTGATGAGATGTGAACCTAATTTTCATTGAAACATTTAACTTCTTTCTGAGTAATAGCACTTCTAGGTAAGTGAAATCATCACAAGACTGAACTTGCTTTATAAAAAACCTGAGATCTCTATTTTTCTACATGGATGGATTTATTACTTGCTTTGGAAGAGCATCTAATCTTCTTCCATCTAAGCTCCATCAACAATCTGATGTCAGGGAGTCCTGACGCCTCAGTGACAAGCTGGCAGGGCTCATATCTGTGATATTCCAGTACAGACAATCCATCCTAAATAGTAACAGGTAGGATCTAAAATTAATGTTTTCTGTAACAAACATTTTTAGTATTTTATTATATAATGTATCTTTTGATAATAATAGCCCTTATGGTTGCATGCTGGGGTTATATTGTGGTAGGGATGGGCAAATATATGAATTCAAGTTTGTTTATAGAAAGTTTTGCTGCAGAATGAAGTTTCCCCTTTTATGACTATTCTGTTTTAAAATATAATTTTATTAAAGATTTTTAAAAAGGAAGATAAAAACTAATTACAAACTAATATAAAGTAAGGAAAAAAGAAAGAAAGAAAATAGAAAGCTAAAAATGCAAAAAAGGGGGGAAAAAAGGAAAAGAAAAATAGAAAAGAAAGAAAAAAATACTAACTAGTAGCTTTCATTCTTCTTTACAACAGTTATAAGTACAATTATAAATTAACTTCTTAGTTTACGGTTATAACATAACTCTCCTTTTTCTATAATCTATCCTGTCTAATCATCAAAACCATAAATCATAAGTTTTTTTTCATTTTACGTAAAAAGTCCATAAGGGGTTTCCAGTCAGCAATAAACATACTTTTTTTTCTTTGATCAAAGAA